GGGGGGGGGGGTGACTACCCTTTCCGATGGCCCAGGAGGAGCTGCTGGGTGCCGATGCTGACTCTGTAATTAGTCACCCCCTCGGTTGGGGAAAAGGGTCTCATTTTGCACTTACCAGATGTCCCTTCATGGTAATGCCCAAGCCCTTCATAAGCTATATTTATTTTCTGGAGACAGAAAATATTCAAATGCATAAAACCTAAACTTGAATTTCTCCCTCTTCCACAATCATCAAACCCCGACTCTGTGCCAGTACAGAGAGTAAGAATCATCCCGGGTGATGGAAACCTCCAACCTGTCAGTGAAGTTCTGAGCAATAAACCATTTGCTGCAGCTAATTTCTCATCCAGACGAAGTCGTTACAGATTCATTTCCTCGCTTTTTGTAGGAAAAGAGAGAGGCAGTGATCACAAGACCTGACTGAGGAGCAAACATTAGAAAAGAGGCAAATTTTGGCAGGAGGATGTACGGAAGACTGGGGGATTTTAGTCCATGTGTGCGACTCTCTGCTGCTAAATGCTAGGAGCAGAAGGCTTCTTCCCGATGCTCCCGGTTCCTCACTTACGTTTCACTGAAAGGGGGAAACCCAAGTTCCATCACTGCACTGAGCGCCCAGACAACTGCAGGGCTGGTCGGTCAGGGGCTCGGGAATCAAGGCCAGCTGTCCCCGCCGGACCAAATGCAGTGTCTGGAGGAAAGAACTGTCACCTGGAGCCTTCTGGCTATCACGCTCTGGGCCCAGGGCAAACAGCCCCCGCAGCACAGCCCCACATTCCTCTCTTGCTAGGTGCTCTTCACCTCTGAGGCTCTAGCAACATCACAATCCCACACACGAGCCCCCGACCCGAGACGTGCCTTACCCTCCCCTGCCCCTTCCTTTCTCATAGACCCAGCTGAGCCCCCCCCAGAAGCCTTCCCCGGGTCCTGGCTGCCTGGACACTGGCTGGTGAGAGGCCCGAGCTGTGTTCCCAGAGCTCTCTGTTCTCACTGCACTGTGCCCACCTAAGGGCAGGAGCCACACCTAAGAGGTGTCTGTACCCCGGCACAAGTCTAGTTTCCAACACAATGTGGACTGTCCATATACAATGTAAGCTACCTATTTATGTTTCTGTCTGCCCAGCACCCCACGAACTCCTCCTGAGCAAGTTGATGTCTCATTGACCTCTGTCCCCCGTTCAGGCGCAGTGCTGGGAAGTGTGGCTGGGTGTCGGCAGCGAGCACTGTCTCCCACTCACTGTGGGGTAGGGCCACGGGGCGCTGCATGACCCAAACAGGCCAGGCTCTCCGTGTGGTTTCCTGGCTCAGGGTTTTGCAGGGCTGAGAGGAGATGAAAGTGAACCAGTATAAATGCAACCTAGGCCAGGAGCTGAACTGTGTAAATAAGAGGCCATGACAACCGCCCCACCCCCGAGAGGCCCACGTGGACGGAGGAGAGCGTGGATTTTAATCACGCTCATCTGGGGAGGCAGCCACCACATTCTGTGAACACACTGTCATGGTATTTCAACAGCACTTCACCCTTGAAGGGTTTGGTAGCTAATTTCTGGTGAAAAACGGACATGATCCCCATCTGACATCCAGGACAGGAGGAGCGCAGAAGAGGCGATGAAGGAAGAGTCCCACACCAGAGCCACGGGCACCCAGGAGACGGTGGGCAGAGCTGGGCCAGAGCAGCTGCAGGCACCGAACATGACGGTGAGATTCCACGAGGAGCGGGTCCTGGGCGTGGCCGCCACAAGGACAACCTAACAGAAGAGGCCTGAAGCCCAGAGCGAGGAAGGCGGTTTGTCTTCTTCCAAAACTGGTTCTCAGAGGGAGGATGTGCGGGGAGGGCGGGAAGGGCCGGCGAACGTGGCTGCGGCCACACGGAGCCAACTCCTCCCCTGCCTGGAGAACCAGGAGGAACACACGGACACAGCAGAGCCCGCGGCTTCCACCCCAGTGCTCCGCACTCTCGCAGCAGCGGAAGGAACCCCTTCCTCCCTGCCGGTGGGGCACCGCACAGGGCTGTGTCCCCACACCCAGTGAGAACGTTTTAAACTACTGTCCAGGGTCTCCGACGGAATCATAATTTAAAACCCAAATCTTACAGTTGTTCCTTGGGCAGAATGACTTGGAAGAGGAGCCCTCGATACAGCTGCCCGGCTGTCCCACGCAGCCGGCTCATGAATATGCATGTCCCTTGTCTGCTGGGAACGCCGGCCCGGCCGCCGTGCAGACCCAGACAGCCTGAAGTGTCACGAGGAGATTAAAGCAAGTCCAGTTAATAGCCACAGTGCCCTCTTGTTCCTTCTCTAAAGAGACAGAGAGAAAGAAAGAGTGGGGAGAAAATTAAACATCTTCTGAAGTCTCTATGGGCCAGCACTCGAGTGCTTTCTTGTATGCTGAGCCTCGGAGAGAGGGAGCTCCTGAAGTCTCCATAGCTACGGCAAACAGGGCTCCAGCCTGCTGTCGTGGACTCGACAGGGCTGGGGGCTCGCTAACAGGGCATCCCGGTGTCTTCAAACAGGCCACAGGACGACAGTGGCGGCAGCGCCCTGGCATCGCTGTGCTGGGGAAAGTAAAAGTGAGAGGCTGTTCTCGGACCCCACGCAGCTGTGCGACGGGATTCAGAGACTTAGCTCAACCCTGGGCCTGTGGCCTGTGCAAGCTGGGTAACGACACCAGCAGGGCAGAAACGTGGAGGCCAGCAGAAAACACAATACAGAAAAAGCCTCGCGGCTCAAACAGTCCTGACCAGCACACGTTCGTGCCAAGTTCACCTCTACAGTAAAGTCAGGAGAGTCAAACCTGACCGTCGGAACTGCCTGGCGAGAAAGAGTCCATCTCACTGAGAAAGGCAGTGCCCCTCAGGAATGAGAGCAGTGGCCCTCGCTGTGGATTCCAGGACACAGGCCCTGCAATGAAGGGGACTTTGTTCCGGTCGCTGCTCTATCTCTGTCCAGAAGGCTGCTGGGGACAGGTAGACTGTGGCCCATGTTTTTGTGTGGCGGCAAGCTAGAAAGATTTCATACTGTTACATGGTTGGGGGGAAAAAATCAAAAGAACACTAATTTGTGACACATTAAAATTATCTGAAACTCAAACGTCAGCATCCACAATAAATAAAGTTTTACTGGCACACAGCCGCGCGCACTCGTTCACGCACTTTCCCGCCACAGCGGCGGCAGAGACAGCGCGGCCCGAAGCCACAGACAGTTACTAAGTTCAGCCTTCACAGAGGGGCCTGCCAGTCTCTGGCCTGACCATGGGAGGCACCACAAGTATCCGTCGAAGGAATAAGTGAGCTTTTAGACGGGCCCTCACTGAAAAACGTATTATTTAAATTAAAACAATTTAAACATGTTAAAGATTTTACTCACTTTTCAGGATATGTATATAAACTACTTCCCTACAGATGTATAACGTGTCTGTATTTAACATATAATGTATATAACTAATACATGAACTATATATAATATCTGTATTTAACTTCTGCTTCCAGAATATATATTTTTTAAATGTCTTTCCTGGTTTCAGAGAGAAGAAGGGAGAGGGAGAGAGAGAGAGAAACATCAATGATGAGAGTCACTGATCAGCTGCCTCCTGCACGCCCCCTACTGGGGATCGAGCCCGCAACCCAGGCCTGTGCCCTGAAGGGGAATCGAACTGCGACCTCCTGGATCCTAGGTCGATGCTTGACTGCAGAGCCATGCCAGCCGGGGGGGATAGGTTTTTTAGAATTGCTTTTAGACACCAAACTCATTTCTGGCGAGGGGTTGATGTCCTGCCCAACTCTCCACGGTGCACTGTTCAGCTAAGGCACAGGGCATATGAAGTGCGTCTGAGGACAGGATGCTCAGTACCAGGCAGCCCAGTTCCCCAGCTTTCACTAACCACGTAGTGACGCGCTACACTCCAGCGAGGTTTTCCTAAAGACGA